CCCCCCGCCTAGAGGCCCCGCCTCGATCCTCCTAGACCGCGCCTGGAGTCGCACAGCCCCCGCCCACAGTCACCACCCCCGCCTCCTGGAGCACGGAAGGCGCATGCGCAGAGAGCCGCGTCCCTTTGCCGTGGCTACCGGAGATGCGCTCCGCAGGGCCTACCGGCGGGAGCTTCCGGGACGGGGCACGGCCGCCGGAAGTGCGTGGCCGCCGGGGCCATGGCGGCGCTCAGCGTCGTCTGGCTGCTGCTGGTAGCTGCGTGCTGGCCGCCCGCCTCGGCTTCAGGAGAAGAGTTCTGGCCCGGCCAGTCGGCGGCGGATATCCTGTCAGGGGCGGCGTCCCGCCGACGGTGAGACGGGGGCCGGGGCAGATCCGAGGGCGGAGGAGGCTCGGGGACCGGGCTGGGCGGCGGGTCGTGGGGTCGGAGCCTGAGCCACTGGGTCGCCGAGCTGGCTGGGCCTCCGCCGTCCACTCGAGCGCTTGCTGCCCGAGGTCTAGGCGTGTAGGTGGAGCCCGACCCGGCCGCACCGGCCATCCGGCTCCGCCCGGGCGTCCTGTCCCATGCCCGGCCCCAGCGGTAAGGCACTCTGCCCTGTCTGCAGAAGTCCGCAGGGGTCCGGTCATGGAGGTGCCCTCCAACCGGGGCTCGCATTCCCGAGCTGGAGGGTCCACCCGGGACCCAGTGTAGACAAAGCCGGTGTAGAGAGCAGCAGTGGCCGTGCCCGTGAAGCCTGCCTGGGGTGTAGTAGAGAGGAGTCTTGCTTTGGCGGTGCCCTCAATTTCAGTCATTTTCCCAGAGATTCCGGCACCCAGGACAGTACTCTGAGTTTTTCCAGCGGTTACCAGGCCTGTGATGATCAGAAATGACTGAATGCAGAAACAAATCTGAAAACTCGGCTACAGACGGCTCAAAATAAATTTGCAGAAATTAAAAGTATTACCATTCTCGTCACCATTCTTATTTTGAAGATACATTTTTCATTTTCATAAAAATATTTTTACATAATGAGATTATTATTAGTTATTAATTGTTTTTATTTTATGTGTGTGATTATATTGCCCATATGCAAATGCAGCTGTGTTGTGCAGTGCCCACAGAGGTCAGAAGACAGGGTGTTACAGACAATTGTTAGCTGCCATTTGGGTGGGAGTCCCCTGCAAGAGCAGCCAGTGTTCTTAACTCCCAAGCCATCTCTCCAGCCCTGGTTACTGTTATTTTTATAAAAATATTTTATGCGTATGATTGTGTTGTCTGCATGTAGGTAAGTGCACCCATGTCGTGCAATGCCTGTGGAGGACAAAAGAGGCTGTCGAATCCCCCGGAACTGGAGTTACGGACAGTTGTTAACTGCTATGTGGGAGCTGGGATTCGAACCTGGGTCTTCTGCAAGAACAGCCAGTGTTCTTAACCACTGAGCCATCTTTCCAGCCACGGTTATTGTTATCTTTAAGTGAATCAATGAGTACATCTAACTTTAGCTTGTAACACAGGAGCTAGCAATAGATTAATTCACATACAGCTAGGCATGTCCAGCCTGTGGCCCACTGGTTGCTTGTGTCTCAGGACAGCGACAAATGCCGCCTACCCTATTTGTAGATGACAGCATCGTGTGGCAGTGTCAAAAGGCTTGACAGCCCTGAATCAATAGTGGCCCTTTGTGGTCCTCAATAGTTGTTCAGACAGCGTGGGAATGACCACAGTACTGATTTTTGGGTATGGCTTCTGAGATGCTGGGCATTCCAGATTGTCAAGATGGTGCTAGGGTGTCTGCTATTACCACTCATGGGCTCTGCAGGTAATTGTCACATGGAAATGACCTGCCACTACCTCCTTGTGCTAGCGATGCACTAAGACTCAGTGTTCTGTGCAGGGTCCCCCCACTCAAGGCCTGTGTCCTGCTCCCTGCTCAGGTACCTTCTGTATGATGTCAACCCTCCAGAAGGCTTCAATCTCCGCAGGGACGTCTACATCCGTGTTGCCTCCCTGCTGAAGACACTGCTGAAGACCGAGGAGTGGGTGCTTGTCTTGCCCCCATGGGGCCGCCTCTACCATTGGCAAAGTCCTGACATCCATCAGGTCCGGATTCCCTGGTCAGAGTTTTTTGATCTTCCAAGTCTCAATAAAAACATCCCCGTCATTGAGTACGAGCAGTTCATTGCAGGTGAGGCAGGTGTTGGACAGGTGACTTGGCCCAGCCTGGCTGTGCTCTCCCCTCGGGCCTGCTTTAGGGTTGTTTCCGTAGTTTGTCCCTAGGGAAGCACAGGTGTGCACGGACATGGCAGGGGTGGTGAGAGCACCAGCCATTTTCCTCGAGAGATGCCTGCTGCTGGTGTACGTGCATCGGGGGCCTCAGTGCTGCTGAAGGGTGTGCGAGCCCTTTTGCTTGACTCCATGCTGTTTTCATCTTGAGAGGAGTAAAACTTCTGAGAACAAAGGTCTTTAGAGTTGACTGTGGCTTTGGTTGGAACATTGCACTTGAGGTCCTGGGGAGGAAGGTGTTTGTTTAGAGGCAGGCTGTGCCAGTGGTGTGCATCAGCGTCTCAGTCCACGAGACCTCTGCTTCCTGTTCAGGACTGGCCCCATGAGGTTGTGTTCCAGGACATGGCTCTAGCTACACATTTTGTCACTGACAGGCATGTTCTGTGTCACAGTCCGTCCGTTGAATACAGGGGACACAGGCAGCATTTATTCTGACCTTTTCATTCAGACTGAACATGGAAAGTCAGAGCATTGTAAACACATACTTAGAATGTATAGTTTTCTAGCCCAGCTGTTAATCTTGCTTTTGGGTCCTAGAAAAGAAGGAGTTGGGGTTTTGGGTTGGGATTTTAGGCTGGGTGGACTCACCCAAGAAGATAGCCTGTCCTTTGTCTGAGTCTGGGTCCCAGGCACCTGGAGAATGCCTCCCTGTGGGACAAGGCCAGTGGGTTCCTCACAATGGGAAAGGGACAGTTGGAGCCCTTGCCATATAAGTATGGTGCCTAGAGGCATAAGTTTCTAGGACTTCCCCAGAAGGGGGAGGACAGGTCTGTGCCATGTTGGCTTCCAGGAAAGACACGACATGTTGGCTTCATATACTCATGGGGAGGGGCCGCAAGGAGGCTGCATCAGATGAAGCTATGCCTGTGCCAGCCCCACGTCCAGTGCATGGGCGTCTGCACCTCTGATCAGCCTGGGAGGAACCTCTTTAGCTCGGACCTTGTGCCCACCAGCCATGTGGCTGCAAACCTCATCCTGTGCGAGTAAAGACAGAATTTAACTTTCTGTGGCTTGTCATAACTGGGGTCCTCATCTGGACAGACCTCAATGATACTCTGGATATGGTGGGTGACTCTGGCTAGGTATACGTGGGGCAGTAAGTAAGGGACACAGACCTCCTGGGGCTCCTTTAGTGGGGTTTAGTGGTATGGTAGACAGAGTTATGATGAAGAGGCATGTTCGGGACCCTGAGGGGTGGGAATGAGCCCCGGAAGAGAGCAGCAGTCAGTGTGTGCTAGGGGAGCAGTGCAGTACACACGAGAGGGGGTGAAGCCAGGCCTGCCCCAATGCCAAGGGGTGCAGTGGGAAAAAGCAGAAGGCCAGAGAGAGGCCAGGGACACCTCAATAACCCCCATCTGTCCCCGAGGCCCACATGCTGATGCCATTGACTGTCCTCTGCTTTAGACGCTCCTTCAGGCCTCTGGAACAAGATGGCTTTAAATCAGTCAATGAAAGTCATCTCACATCTGTGGCTATATGGTGCACACCTACAGATATGTCTGTGGTCACTGCTGTGCAGCACATTCTCTGGGTGTTTTTCAGAGTCCGGTGGGCCCTTTATTGATCAGGTGTACGTCCTGCAAGGTTATGCTGAGGGCTGGAAGGAGGGCACCTGGGAGGAGAAGGTGGATGAGCGGCCCTGCATTGATCCGCTGCTGTATTCGCAGGACAAGCACGAGTATTACAGGTAGTGCTTTGAAAAGTGAGGGTGCCCAGTGGTTCACAGAGACCCTGGCCTGAGCCCTGACACACTCTTCCTTTTATTTGTCCTTTTGTTTGTTTTGAGACAGGGTCTCACTATATAGTCCTGACTGCCCTGGAACTTGCTATGTAGACCAGATGGGCCTTGAACTGAGATCTGTCTGCCTCTAACTTACCACACCTGTCCTGTTCTGATAACACCTCCTGCTGTTCGAAACTCAGCCAGTTTTTAAAATACCTAAGACATGCTTATTTTTTGCCTTATTTTTTTGGTGGTACTGGGGGTTGAACTTAAGGGGCTGTTCATACCAGGCGGGTCCTGAGACAGGTCTTACTATGCATCCCAGCCTGACCTCGGACTCCTGACCCTCTTGCCTCAGCCTCCCAAGTACTAGGATCACAGGCATGTACCACCATGCCCAACTTCCCTCAATTTTAATTTTATTTTTATTTTACTCTGTGTGTGCATGCAGGTGACCACTGAGGTCAGAATAGGACATTGGATCCTCTGGAGCCAGAGTTATAGACAGTTGTGAGCTATCCCTTGTGGATGCTGGGAACCAAACTCCTGTCCCTTGCAGGGTCAGCAATCACTCTTAACTGCTAAGCTATCTCTCCAACCCCTTCCCTCAGCTTTTAAATGCATTTGAGCATGCTTGGGAATGGCAATTGTAGCCCAAAAGTTGCCACCTGAGGCCCTGGCTGTCACTCAACACCCTCGATGTGTGACATACTGGAATACTCCTATGAGGGGAGTTGTTTGGGGAGCCCAGCTGTCTGGCTGAGCTGTGGCTTCTGTCACCACGGCCTGTGTCCTGTCAGTGACCTGCAGAAAACTGAGAAGAGCTCCAGGGAAGAGTTGTGGTTTCTCATGAGAACCCTGCTGTCCACAGCCCTGGTGTGTGTGCTGCTCTGAGTGAAGTGGCCAGTTTTACTAGGACTGTGCTGCATGTGTATATACATGTTCCTGGATAAGAGCTCACAAGCTAACAGGCTGGCTGGGCTTTGTTTTCCAGAGGCTGGTTTTGGGGCTATGAAGAAACCCGGGGTCTGAATGTCTCCTGCCTGTCTGTCCAGGGGTCAGCTTCCATTGTTGCACCCGTGCTTTTGAAAAACACTTCTGCTCGGTGAGTGCCAGGCCTCCCACGCAGTGTTGAGGTAGCAAGGCAGTCCATGCGTGCATTGTGTGCACCATCGTCCTGACACCCCACCAGGCCCCTCTTCCTGTGTTTATGAGACTAGATTGAGCAAAGACTGGAGGAGGCTCTGTGTTCTGGAGGAAGGACCCCAGAGAATCCAGGGTTGGGTAGACTGTTCCCAGGCTCTGGTGCTATGGGTGTGGGAGTGTGGCCTACAATCTCCTGAACTCCTTGTTCAGGGTAGCCACTTTACCCTCACCCTGACCCCCATCTCCTGAGCCCTGGTTCAGAGCTATGAATACTAGAGACAGGACACGCCCCTGGTTCCCCTCCAGATCCCTCTCTGGGATGCCACGATAGCCCAGCACAACTGGGCATGTGCATGGGAGTGGTGAAGAGGTGATGGCCTGTCCAGGGGGGTGGGGTGTGAGCAGGGCTCAGGCTAGGCTGGAAGGTAAAGTCTACTGGGCTTGGGCACTGGGGGTCTGCTCTGTTCCAGGCTTCTTGGAAACTTTTGAAAGTCCTGTCCATGGTGTTTTAGTCCTTTATCTTCTGAGGTTGGGAGTCACAAGCACCCCAACTTGTGGGACCAAGCAGCTGCGGCAGATGAGGACAGCCACTCCCAGTCCCCTGGATAATGAGAGGAGTCCACTTAGGATCGGGGGTGGGCAGGTATAAGAGCCCATGTTACATACCTGGAAGGAAGTGCCGTGTTGCCCCCTCAGCCAGCATGAGCATCTTCCTGGTCTGGGCACCCCGGACCAGCAGGTCAAGATGAGCCCTGTTGCCTGTGTCACCTCTGAAGCGTCTGGAGCCCCTGGCCATGACTGTCTGCAGAGTGCACTGTGTGTAGCCTTGCCCTGGTTAGAGCAGCCCAGCTATGGTGGACCTGGGCCTTGCAGCCTCCCTGTGACCAGCTCTGGCTACACAACAAAAAAGTAAAAGTTCAAGGTGTTGGAGGGACCCAGCTTTTATGTTGTCCCAAGTCTGTAGTCCAGTGTCTTCATTCCAAAAGTAGCTCTGTGGCTATGGGATGTGTGGTGTTATGGTCAGGTTTTCTCTTACATTGAGGGGCTAGAATGGAGCTGAGCCCAGAGAGGGACTGAGACTAGATGGGCTATGACTCAGGAACAGTGTGGGAAAGGTGCTCTGTGGGCAGAGGAGGTCTGAAATTATGGTCCTCATCTGTGCCAGAAAAACCCAACCCCAGGTGGGTTAGTGACTTACTGGGCAGAAGAATTGTCGAGCTGTCAGGGCGGCCTCAGCATCTTAGGGTGGGAATGGCTGCTTAGCAAGGTACAGAAAATACCAGCCAGTTAAATTGTGCTATCAGTGTCAGTGTGCACACAGTGGGGAAGCAGAAATGTAGGGTTGTGTCCAGACCTGAAATAGCTTTAGTGGGAGTCAATGCTGAGCCATCCAGGGGCTGTGCAGAGCTGGTCCCATGTGGCCCCCAGGGCAGAGCCCTGGCCTCTTCTGAGTCTGACCTGGGAAAAGGAATCTGGTTTGTTCGTGTGTGCTTCTGACTGAAAACCCTTTGAAATGTTCACTTACAAAGTTACATTTACCCCTTGTACAGAGGTTTCAGGGTCTGTTCCACCATGTTGTCCCAGGTCTTAAGTTCTCCATGTTCAACTTTGGAGTTTGTTTCCATGTTCCACTCCGAGCTAACATCTGTGAAAAAAGGAAGGTTGTAGGCAACGTGGCCACTGCCTTGGCCCCCAGCCCTGTCACCAGGGGACAAGGTGATAGTGTGAGCTTCAGATGTGCAGACCCAAGGGTGTCCCTTGTCCTTGTGTGAGGTAATTTCCTTTGTAACAGGAGCAGATGCTCTCACACCTTGTGGGACCCCATCGTGGACTCCTTTGGTCATACATGTTCTTTTAATGTTGAGTTCTCTGCCAGTGTCCTTGGCTCTGTCGCTCCTTTTTTTTTTTCTTTCTGTCTTCTTCCTGCTCTTCACAGTTCTGCAGGGACTTACCTGGATGCTCCTGTTTCGGGTCCCCGGCAGACTTGCACCCCTGGGACCTAGGGCTTTCTGTTTTGTTTTCTTGGAGTGTGAAAATATAATCATTTTAGCTTTTATCTTTGTTAAAATCTTTTATTTTTCGGTTGTTTAAACCCAGGTCTGTGATGTTGGACCGAGCTGAAAACCTGCTTCATGACCACTATGGTGGCCGAGAGTACTGGGATGTGAGTACCTCCACAGCACACAGAACACAAAACAGGTGTTCATGTTTTGAAGACTTAAGACAGTTGTCAGCAACTTTTGTTTTTGCTGACTGAAACCATAGGCTCTCAGAAGTCGTGGGCTGGGCCCAGTGGGCCTGCTCCACCACACAGGGCAAAATGCTCGTGCAGGACCTGCCAAGGGGCCTTGTAACTCAAGGACACAGGCTGAGCCCTAGGTACCCTGCTGAGCAGCAGCCTCTGCCTCATGGTGCCATATGCTGGGGACCATAAAGAGAGTGGACCTGGGATGGGTGAATCCAGTCCTTGAGCCATCCTTTCCACACCTGGGTGCAGCCGAGCTTGAACCACTTGTCCTATGGGTTGGGAAAAGGGACATTTGTGCCATGCATCCTGACAAGAGGAACCATTTCTGCTTGGAAGGGAGGCTGTAACCTGGTGATTGTGAGGACACTGGCTAGCCTGAGCAGGTGTCAGACCAGGAGCAGCAGCTCTGCTGACCCGAGGCCTTATTGACAGCTCGTAAAGCAGGCACCTAGTTCAGAACAGAGATGTAGTCATTCGGTTCAGTTCAGTTTGGGAAAAAGGAAGCCTGCTCCAAGCAAGGTGCAAAGTTCGGCGTTTGGCAGACACCAAGGTGATGAGTCTGCATGGCAGTGCTGGCTGAGCCGGCAGTACAGGGCTCAGCAAGGGCAGGCCAGCCCTGCAGCCTGGGACTGGCTGGGGTGGCTTTCTTCCCACTGTGGTCCTACACAGGGCCTCTCCAGGTCTCTGTAGAACATCACTGCAGCTTGATTAAGGGACTAGCAGAGGCTTGTTGCAGCGAGGGGAGGCTCAGAAATACCCAGCTGGAAGGCCTGAAGGCCATGTTGCCAATGGCACCAAGTGGAGGGGAGGGGAAGGTGGTAGACAAGCGAGGTTGTAACAGCTCACTGGTCCTTTGTGGCACTCAGCTTAGCTCTGTTTGTGCAGACCCGGCGCAGCATGGTGTTTGCCAAGCACTTGCGGGCCGTGGGAGATGAGTTCAGAAGCCAGCACCTGAACTCTACTGATGCTGCTGATAAAGTGGTCCTGGAAGAAGACTGGACGCAGATGAAGGTAGCCTCTCTAACCTCGGCTAGGGAGGACTGAATGGATTCATCTCCTAAATTAGTGTGTCTGCCATGTCTTTAATGCCAGACATGAGTGACCTGACTACCTGTCCTGCAGGAGGGCAGGGGCTGAGCAACTTGACCCCTTGTCTGGGTGCAGAGTTAGGGAAATGACTCAGTACAGTTTTCTCTTCAATGAAATGGGGACATTATTGTTAACATAAAATAGCACTTTTAAAAAGTCTGTAAATACTGCAAGCATGGTGGCACATGCCTTGACCCAGTACTTGGAGATGGAAGAGGAAGGTCGTGAGATCCAGGCCAGCCTAGGCTGTATAGGGAGACCCTATCAAAAAATTAAGAAAGGAAACCAGGCATGGTGGTGCACGCCTGTAGTCCCAGCACTCAGGAGGCAGAGGCAGGCGGATCTCTGTGAGTTCAAGGCCTGCCTGGTCTACGTAGTGAGTTCTAGCCCAGCTGGGGCTACTGGGAGATCCTGCCTCAAAAAGACAAAGAAAAAAAAATTAAGAAAGGAAAATCCTGAAGCAGAAGTAGGTGACCAAATCCACCAGCGTTTCCCATGGTCTCTGCACTCTGGGGAGACGGGGCAGCCCCCCAGCTCTCTGGTCCTGTGTTATCCTTTCCTTACACACATCCTTTCCTTTTTCTCTGAAAGTCAGGTTCCTACATTGTCCCTCGGCACCATGGCCGTGTGCTGTCAGCGCCTCCTTTCTGTTGTGTCTTAGAGCCTCACTGTACCTGTTTGGTCTGTGGTTATTTTTGCTGGTTCCAGGTGCTGTTGTTTAAGCAATAAAGTAAGTTGCTTAGATCGTCTTGGCTGAGAAAAATATTAAATAGCTTTTCTTTTTTAATTTTTCTAGTGTTTCATTTATGATTTTTATTTCATTCAGATAATGGCATTTATGATAATTACTTCATCGCCCTCTTAGGAAGGCATCTAGTTGTGTGTGGTCCCCCCCCCCCAAGATTTGAGGATCATTTAGGCTTGGAGGGACACCTGGGGGACATGTCTGTCCCTCCACATCCCAAGACGCCCAGAGCCCAGTCAAACTCGGCTCGGCATCTTTTTAACATATGCCTGTCTTGTGTAGGTCAAGTTGGGCTCGGCGCTAGGTGGCCCCTACCTTGGAGTCCACCTGAGAAGAAAGGACTTCATCTGGGGCCACAGGGAGGATGTGCCTAGCCTGGAGGGTGCCGTGAAGAAGATCCGTAGCCTCATGAAGACTTACCAGCTGTCCAGGGTGTTTGTGGCCACAGATGCCATCAGGAAGGGTAGGTCGCTGAGTGCAGGCTTTGTTAGGCTTCTTCCTGGCCCTTGGTTGAATGCTGGGAGGCCTAGGCCTGTATTGTGACCTTGATCACGTGTCTGTCCCATGGTCCCCGGTCAGCATCCTCTCCTTTACCTCACAGAACAGGAAGAGCTGAGGAAGCTGCTTCCGGAAATGGTGCGCTTTGAGCCCACCTGGGAGGAGCTGGAACTGTACAAGGACGGAGGCGTGGCCATCATCGACCAGTGGATCTGCGCACATGCCAGGTGCCTGCCCGCCATGCTGTGGAGGGGCTAGTGCTGCTTTCTAAGGCCCTACGGCCCCAGCACAGCACTCAGCAGGTGGTTGTGTCCCCCCCTGGTTCCGTCATGCCTTATCACTTTCTTTCTTGTAATAGTCAGCCCAGCGTTTGCTTAGGCTGCTGTGAGCCGTCAGTCTTGACCTCTCAGTCCTCCACACGTGCATCCTCCATGGCGCACACCCAGACTCTCTCCTCCTCCTGCTTGTCTGCCCGAGAGCCGTGCACTGCCGGGCTGTTCAGCCTCCTTGGCATGTTTGCACCACTGGAGGCGCACGCATTGGGCTGCCTGGAGCCTGCGGCTGGAGGGTGTGTCACTGTTCCGGGAGGTCATGAGGACGGCTGGCCTTGTAGCACTCCTCTGCACACAGGTGTAGGAACCTGAGGGTGGGATCCGAGTGGCATGGAGAACAAGGTAGAACACAGGAGTTTGCTGCTGGCTCGACACTGAGGAGAATGTGTTCGGTGCCGGGCGCTGCTGTGCTCTCCCTGCCCGGGGCTTCCTCCTGTGGCCGCTGCTTCTCTGTTGTGTTCTGGACACTGAGGTTCCCACTGACACCATCCCAGCACCATGGGGCCCAGCCAGTCAGTAGGTGGGTGAGGGCCACATTCCTGTCTGTGCGGGTCTAGCTGCTGGTACCTCCCTGTCCCTAGGCATGGCCTGTGCATTTTGGGGGACAGCCAGGCCGTTCTGTCTCCACTGGAGTCTGCTCTGCTCTGCTCTCTGGGGAGGCTCTGCACGTGCCCCTTCACTGCCTGGGTTCTTCCCAGGATCTACTAGACACAAGCCCTGTCTCAGGACCTCTGACTGCAGTTCCCAGCTCAGAAGGTGCTTCATACAGCTGATTGCAGCTGTCTCCACCCGTCGGCACAGCCCAGCCTGGCACCTTCCTCCAAAGGTGGGGGTGAGCCTGAGACCCCAAAGTCCCAGGATCACCCTGGGATATAGTATTCCAAATCTTCTCTGGATTAGTTGGTCACTAAGTGCCATCAGAGAGCCAGGACACAGGAGTCGGGTTGGGTGAGTCCCTGTCACCCCAGGATCAGAAGACCCTTGAGAAGGGACTTCTCTAGCCATAACAGCGTGCATGTCGACAGTCCCTGTCACAGCTAGTGTCACATTGGATGCAGAACCCTTGGTGTTCACCATGCAGCCAAGTGGCAATCTGGCATCTGTAGTGGAGAGGAGGGAAGTGCCTGTGAGGCGCAGTGGGCACCGTGAGGCATGGCTGACCCGTGCAGGTGCCAGTGCCAAGGGTCCGGGGCCTGTGGTGGGTGTGTGTGGGCTGCCGCACTCCCTGCTGCTCCTGGGTGACTCTTGTGACTTTGCAGGTTTTTTATTGGCACCTCAGTCTCCACATTTTCTTTTCGGATTCATGAAGAAAGAGAAATCCTGGGGTTGGACCCCAAGACGACGTACAATCGGTTTTGTGGAGACCAAGAGAAAGTATGTGAGCAACCCACGCACTGGAAGATAGCGTACTGAGGGCCGCCAATCCATCTGCCACCTGCCAACCATTCGGTCCCAGGGTCCCAGAGGGGGCTTCCACTTGGGGCACCATATTTAATGCCCCTGCGGCTCCTTTATGTCTGAGCCGACATCTGCTTGTGGCCAGGCTCTGCCACCTCCAGGGTTTGCAGTTGTGTCTTCTGTCAAGACCTGTGAAGCCATGTCACCATCACAGACACCACATATGTGCTGGTCCAAAAATGCAAGGAGCATCTGTCAGCCCTGCATTGGTCTTTCTGTCACCTTCTTGAGCAAGTTGAGAGGCCAGTTGAGGGGCTGCTCCTTCAGTGTCCTTCAGATGGACACTGGTTCCTGAGACACCGGTGCAGTACTGGTCATCCCACACATTCCAGTGTTACCAGAGGCTGGGTCCTGCCCCTCCCCCTGCACTGTACTCCAGAGGTGGAGGTTTAAGACCCTGATTTTATCAGAGTTCTGGGACCCTCAGGGTGTCTGGTGGACCTGGCCAGCAATTCACTCACCTCACCTTTTGGTGGACACGTGGGTCCCTAGGCCTGTTGCACACTGCTGAGAAATAGAATTGAGAAGTGACAGTCATATCCTTCAAAAGACAACATCCTAGGCTTCACGCTGCACTGTGCGGTCACCTTGGGAGGCAGAGTCAACACAGCCTTGGCCTGGGAAACCCCAGGCCCTTGACCCGGTACTCCTGGGAATACCTCCCACCCCCCAGTTCTGTGCCCTGAGAAGTCCCTTCCTTGTGCAGCCCCTGCTGACCCAGTGCACTACCTGGCTACTGCCCAGGTCTCCTTCCCAAGCACCGAAGTAGATTCGGAGCACAGATAGGGTCCTGTGGCTCACTCAGAGCTAGCCAGGAGGAATCACAGGTATTTATTCTTTTCATTCATACATCCAGTGTATTAGTAAAATACTTTTCTAAAAAGCTATAATCCTAAAAATGGTGCCTTTTTAATGCTTTGTTTTTTCTTGGACTGAGCACTACCTGATGTGTGGACAACTAGGTGCCTTTCTGGAGAATCGGGCTTCATGCTGCCTGGGAGTTGCAGCACAGGCACTTTGCCTGCCGTAAGGTGAGTCACAGAGAACCCTTACCAGGTTCCCAGAAGGTAGACTGACCAGGCGTGGCGGGCAGAGCAGTATGTCCTGCTGGAGCCCTTGCACCCAACACGGCTCGATTCTGCCCATGGAGGACCTTGTCACTGTCCACCACGACCTGGTTCTGTTTACTGGACTGTCTGCCAGGTTGGCTGTTGGGGAAAAGAATGCCACAACTGTAGCCTATCTTCAAGGTGCCAAGGAGATGGCAGTGCAGCCTTCATGGGATTGGCACTTTATCTAGAGTGGGCAGCACATCTGATGGAATTGCTGCAGTTGGGAGAAGCTGGAGCTGGGACAGCCTGTTCTACTGTGGGCAGCCAGTGCCAAAAGCCGAGGGGCACTAGCTGGGAGAATGGAGTCGTGCACTGGGTGGGGTCACCTTGGGAGGACAGGGTGTGACAGCCATGCCCCATGTAGCGGAAGTCTTAGCCAACAGGTCATATAATCACCGATGGAGAGCCCGTCAGAGCTCTACATGGCTCTCAGGAGACATGGCAGTAGTCGTGTTAAAGTCAGATAGGCGTATCAGCTGATTGAAGCAAAGAACAGTTCAAATTGGTTAGTCCCTGAGTCAGCATGCAGACAGCTTGCCTGGTACTGTGGGCGGCAGCATCTCGGGGCAGAACTGGACAGCCTCGTGTCATGGACCACTCCACTGGCAGCCTAACTGGCTGAAGCTCGGCTGCTGTGATTGGCTGAGGTAGCCATCTGTCACTGGAATATCAGCCTGCAGCTCTTTTCCATACAGAGGTACAGCTGTCTGGTCAGACAACACTGGGCCAAATTCAGCAGGAGCCTCAGGAGCTAGCTATGCCTAGGAGGAGCCCAGGAGTCCACAGCTGAGAGTTGTTTCAGCTGCCAAGGATGTCACCAGGCAGGACAAGTATTCCAGGACAGCTTGACCTTGAGGGGACAAGACCACTGGCCAGTGCACATACTGCTTATAGACAGATGGTACTTTTGATACCCAGCTTTGCTGTACAGAAACAGTGAACAAAGGATTCTCATTCTCTTGATTGTTTGAGGCAGGGAGTTGACATTCTTATGTTAAAAATCCCCACTGTGATATCATTGAGGGGTGGGGCCTTTGGATGGCAATTAGGCTGTGACCTCTACCTCATGACCCAACTAGTACATCATAAAAGGGCTCCATGGGCCTGACCTGGCCCTTCTTGCCAACCAGCCCTCCTGCCATTTGGGGACGGTGTTCAAGGTGCCATCCTAGAATCAAAGATAGCCCTCCACAAACATAACAGATTAACGTAAGAAAAAAACCTGCTGGCACCCTGACCTTGGCCCTCAGGCTCTAGCAGAGCGAGTGAGGCTTGTGTCGCTCATGGACTCCTGTCGGATTCTGGTGCAGCAGCAGGACCGGCTGGGACATCTTCATCTTAGTCCTCATCTGTGTGGATGTGTCATTGTTTCTTCTCTAACTGTTCCTTCTTTATCTGTCAGCTGTTCCCAAGAGGATCATGATGGGATATGGCTGTGTAGTGCTGATGTCACCAGTGCCCATGGGATGGGACTGCCTGTTTGGAGGGTGGCCTTCCACAGGGCCCAGCCTTCTCGAGGAGCCCATGCCTGGTGCATCCTTCCCCAGGATTCACTTCTGATAACAGACTTCAGGAGCCATGGGGCAGGAGACTGGGTCAGAGCAAACTCCTCCTGCTCTGTCTCCTGTCAGTGTCTCCCTCTCTCATCTCTGTCTCACCATCTCAGTTTCTCTTTCAGCCCTGGTCTCTCTGACTCAGTGTCTCTGAGTCTGTCCTCTCACTCTCACTGTCTCTGTCTCTCCCTCAGTTGCTTTGTCTCAGTTTGTCTTTCTTGATTTCTGTCTCCCAGTGTCTATCTCTGTCCCTCAGTCTCTTGGTCTCAGTCTCTGAGTCTGGCTCTCTGTCTCTCTTGGCCTATATGTCTTCATCTGTCTCTCTCTTGACTCTCCATCTCTGTCTCCCAGTCTCTTATGTGTCCCTATGTCTTGGTGTCTTGTCTCTATCTGTGTCCTTCAGTCTCTCTCTCTGATTCTTGCCAGCTATACTGGGCTGACTGCCATCCCTCACAGATCTATGGAGAGCCTGCGTTATGAGGTATATGCACACAGCCCCTAATCAGCGCCTTTTGAGGATGGATGCCTCAGTCCACAACCCATGTGGCCCTGAATCTCAATGCTGAGGAGACACTTAGCAATACGTCCCTCCCGGTGAGCTAGAGATGGCAAAGGTCCCTGGGTTACTCTTGGTGGGATCTGAGGACCTGTGAGTCATACACCCTAACACAGAGCCTACCAGGTGACAACATTGAATTAAGCTGTGACTTTGTGGTGATCTGTTCCTGCCTGAGGTGGCTTCACATGAAAAGGGGACAGAATTAGGGATGTTTTAGTGATGGGTCCAGAGTACCTCTGGACTCAGATGTAGCAGAAGCCGTACTGGGCCCCTGCTCCAGAGTGTCCCTCAGAGCCTGCCCAAAGTGTTCCATGTGACAGATGCTCTACATCAGCCAGCATAGGGTGGCATTTGTGGTCTGTGCGCCTTCTAAGTCTGCTCTGTGTCTGGAGGCCTTAGCTCAAGCTGCTTATCATCTGCTGGCAGTTGCTGAGCACTGACCGTGTACTCAGCATTTGATGAACTAGGCTCTGACCTCAGGAAATCCACTGCCAGGAGAGAAGATGGGGAGCCTGGTACACCGTACCCCACATACAGCAGGAGGTAGGTCCGCCTGCCCCAGTGAAGAGGGCAATGCTGAGGACAAGTCGGGCTTGGGAAGCTGAGTTCGCAAGCCATAAGCTGGGAGGAAGGCCAGTAGACAGACACAGGGCAGTGAGGTCACACTAAGCTCAGTGTCACCTGAGGTCAGTCCTGGGGCCTGCCCTGACCATCAGGACCTCCGTAGGCAGATGCCAGAACCCACAGTGCCCTTGTCAGCACTGCCCTGCCACTTGCAGCGGTGGTGCCATCCAAGCAGACGTCACAGTTTCCAGCAGAGACCATGCCACCTGGAGTCTCCATGCAGAGAATATGCAGGATGAGAAGTGGCCATCCTTAGTAAAGTCACAGGACAATTTGTTCTAAGGCAGCAGCTAACTGGGACACCTCAGGCTATAAATCCAGACACATACACTGCCCTGGGCAGCTGGGACACGGGCTCCACAGCCTCCAAGGAGTTGTGCTCATCCATTTCATGAGGTTTATTTAGCTCAGCTGTAGAATGGCCTGGTTCCAGCTCCATGAGACCATACTTTGGCTGTAACACCTCATGAGGGCCAGCCATGTCAAAGCAAGCAGAAGAATATACCACCATACAGAGACCAGCAGCTACAAGGGCCCAAGTTCTGGCTTTCAGGACCCTCTCAAGGGATGAAGTAGGCTCTCTAGGACCATCTAAGTGTTCTGTGGACAGCATCAGGACCCTAGGGCCTCTCTGCTGGACTCACCTCTAAAGATTCCTCTGGGCCCCATGGCACCCCTTGGCTGCCTACTTCACAGCAAAGGCACTGGGGTAGGTCCATACCCAGCCACAGCAGGAGTTGAACTTGGCATTGTCCTCAGATCCATGCCAGGCAGGCAAGCCAAGCCTAATTCTCCACAGAACCTCTGTCCTTGTGATTCTGGGAGGTTGAAGCCCCTAGTGGCAGTGCTCATCCTCTAACTCCATTGTCTGCCCCTCACCAGGGCTTTGCAAAGGTATGCTTGCTGCCCAGTTGTTAAAGCAGGACTTGAGAGGGACAGGGGTCCAGCCTGCTCAGTCACAGAACCAAGACAGTCTCCCCGGACATCAGGAAGTCATCAAGGACTCCAGCAGCACAAACACCTGCCCTTGTGATGGATCACAGATCAGAGCCTCAAATAAAAATTAATTCTAGCCAGAGTTAGAGCTTCAAGTTCATGGGATGTGGAGCTGTCCTTCCTAGGCTGCTTTCTGGCTTGCAGGCAGCATTTTCTCTCTGTCTCCACAGGATCATCCCTATGTGTCTGTGTCCAGTCCCTTTCATGAATCTGTTGGATTTGGCTTACCCTGACAACATCATTTTATCTTAGTCACCTCTGTAAAGGTCCCGTCTCTAAACAGCCACATTTGGAGGTACCAGGGGTCAGGACTGAGTTCAGTGGATTTGGGGAAAGCACTACGCCCAATCCTCATGTTGCCTACACACCACTCCTGCATCCGGAAGTCAGGGCTGACCCCACACAGCCCACTCAGAGCCAGCTCATCCTGGAGGATAGAGTGGCTGACCCACTGGACCTGGGGCCTGCATGGTAGGAGAGTCACTGAGGCCATTTGGTCAGGGTGGTAAGGATGTGATAGGACAGGGGGCTTAAAGAGAGCCCATTACCCACAGTGGAACAAAGGATGCTCCTGAGCCCTGCTACCTGGGCTGGGCTGGATAGCTAGGGACACTCCATCTACCCTCTGTGAACTGGGTCCACTGGGAGGCAGGAGTCTGTGGGAAGTGCTGAGCTGGCTCAGCCCTGGCCAGACTGGAGCACAGCTCTCTTCAGAAGTGAACTGAGGCAGTCTGAATTCAATGACCTGGTTACTAACTTCAGGGAGAAGTAGAGAGGGACGACTGGGCAGGAAACACATTTAGGGATGGCATAGACTCACGCCTTGGCTGGCTCTGGGGCCATCTGTCTCAGTTGTGCAGCCATTACTTCTAGCTGCCGCATCAGGTAACTAATGGAGGCTGAAGGCTGCACGAAATGGCCTGTGACAAATTAAACCCTCGCTGCTGTGAAAAGGCCTTTTCAGGACAAAGCAGGCCTGCCTTATATCCTGTAGACTAGCTGTCCTCATGCTATACAAAGAACAGGCAAACTTTCAGACCTGCATGACACATGGT